CTCCCCAGCTTCCGCTCCCCCTGCGGCCGGGTGACAAGCCTTCAGCCCGGGGACTGTGACTTATTCCAGCAGCCAGCGCGCGTCTCCCCTTGCTCTCCGCTGCTCGTCCAAAGAAAGACCCCAGACCCACCGACTGGTGCCTGGCCGTGGCGCGCAGACCAGCCTGCTCTCCTCTTCTGCAGAAACGCCCCCTACCCCGACCTGCTGCGGTTCGCCCTCCCGCCGCGAGAGACCCCGGCTCCTTCCATAGCGCCTCGCACCACCTCCAGTCTGGTGTGCCAGAGCCATTTTGGCTGATGGCAAGACGCTCCCTACTAGCCTTCTCATGTCGGTTTCTACCCACCCAGGTCCGTTTATCAAGCCCTTCAGACACACTGGCAGGTGCTGTGCCAGACGCTGCCTCTGAGGTTGGCCCGGTCCCCTAGAAGGCAGATAGGTAAGCTAGGATGAAAGCCGGCTGCAGAACAGGTGGGGAGAGAGGCATTCCCCCCCCCCACTCTTTTGGTCTGACCACCTGCAAGTCATCAGGTTACCTCACCTGTGGGCCCAGTCTCTGGGGTGGAGTCCGGGAAGCTGCATTTTACAAGCAGTGCAGGCGAGCGCTCAGGTTTGGGAAGCTCAGCCTTGGGTGGTCAGGCACACCTGGGTGAGAGACCTGTGAGTGTCGAGAGGGGGCAGGTAGCATGTGCTCTGGAGGCCTTCCCCACGGCACAGTTGCCTTTACCTTCTTGGACTCCTTGAGGAGCTAGACCCTACCCTGCCGTCCAGTTGCTTCCCCAGAATCATCTGAGTGTTAATGGAAAATGCACGGCTTTTCTCCCTCTCAAGTGGAAACCAGGGGCCTTGAGTCCAGAAATTGTCTTCTTTATGGTCCCCCTGATTTTTTGCATGTTAATATTTTGCTAGCCCAAGGGACTGGCGGATTGGGTTTGAGCTGGGAGGGGTTCGACGCCTTTTCTGTGAAATGGTCTGATCTATTCCTTGGTCCTCACCTGAGGGCAGGTAGTTTGCTGGGAGTCACACCCCACCTCCTGGTGGGTCTCAATTTTTATGTTAAAAGGAGCAGCTCTGGGCTCTCTGAGCTGCCCTGTTTACCCCAGAGGAAGCCTCTTCTGTCCCCATTGCTGTTTCTCCCCCACACCTCACTTAGCTCCTGCTGATACCTTCTTCAGATGTTAGGTTTTGTGAAAGTCTTTCCAGCTGTCTTCCTTAGCTCCCCCAGCCCACTTGTCCATCCCACCTAGGGGAGGGCAGCACTTGGCTTAATTGGCACTTGGCTTAATTGGCACTGCCAGGTTGCACTAAATCACCAAGCAGCATTTGTGCCAGCACTTTTGTCCCTGGGTGCGATTATGTGACCTGCCCCTCCCCCGCTCTAGTACTTGGGCTTTGGGTGCAGCTCGATCCATCCTTGGGTAGGAGTCCTCGCTACAGGTAGCCAGCAGGGGCCACATCTGTGCTCTACACGGCTGTGTTGCACTGTAATTGCTCTTCCCTCCTCCTGGATGAAGACTTTGAGACATGGTCTTTTTTGATGGCTTCCATTTTCCCTTGGTGTGACAAGGAGTCGTGCAGGCTTTCAGTTTTAAGCGCCGAGCTAGAATTTACACTGTAAACTCGTTAGATTAACGGTGGTGCACACTTCTGGGTTGGATGGCCAGCGATGTCTGCGAGGATGCTGTCCGAGGTGGCTCCCCCACCGCCCAACCCGTTTCAGAGTCACCAGGTGTGCTTCTAGGAGACACATCCAGGTTCTGGAATCCTGTGCTACAGCAAACTGAGTCGCTCGCTGTATGGCTCAGGTAGCGCCCATTGTCACGCTGAAACCTAACTGAGCTGCAGTCTTTCCCCTCCTGCAGCGCGCCGGCTTGCTTGCAGCCGATCTGTGTACACTTCAGGCTTCAGCAAGCAGGCACGGCCAGCCCCAGGTCGCGCTTCCCGGCTGCGTCTTGTAGTCGCCTCACCAGGGACAGGGCGCCTTTTGAGCTGCTGGGGTTCGGGAGGCAGCCTTGTGTCTGCACCCGGCGACAGGGAAGTCCCCGGGAGGCGCAGAGCACTGGGGGTCTCCTCTTGTCTATTTTCAAACATGGCAGTTAAGCCCTGTTGCATCACTTGTGAGGATTTGGATGAGTTCCCAAATTTCTACACCCTGAAGCTCAGTCTTCCTGCACTTTTGGTTGGTTTGGTTGGTTGGTTGGTTGGTTTGTTTTTTTTTTTTTTTTTTACGTTTCAAGGGCTCTTTGAAGAAAATTGTGTTTTGTTTGCCTAGACCGGCTGCATTCCTACTGACAAGGATAACAGTAGGGAGCACCCCTGAAGATGGGGCCTTGGATTTCGTTGACAAAAGGGGCCTGGGCAGGCTGTCTTAGCATCTAAAGAGTGTTAGTGCTGAGTTAGGCCCACAGATAGGATAGGTTCATCTGGAACAGTGTGTCTGCTGTGGGGCCAAGCGAGGTGGGCAAAGGTTTTTCATCCTTTTTTCTGGGAATTAACTTGTAAAATATGGTTTGTTTATTGGCCTCAGTTCCCCCTGTAGGTTTCGATTAGCAGACAGTTCTTTGCACTGGGAGTCTTCGACTGGAGCTGTGAACTCCTCTGCCCGCGTCCCCCTACCTGGTGGGCTTTAGAACCATGGCAACGGAGGAGAAGAAGCCAGAGACAGAGGCCGCCAGAGCACAGCCCACCCCTTCCTCCTCGGCCGCGCAGAGCAAGGCATGTCCCTGAGGGCTCTGGGGGAACTGTCAGGGGGCGCCTAGGCCGAACACTCCTTGGAGATGCTTCTCCCTCAGACACTGCCTTTTTATTCATCGAGCACATACCTACTCGGTGCTTGTTTACTGTGCTGGGGATGCCCAGACCTGTTCCCTGGGGAAGGGGCTTTATCAAAAACATAGATCCTTGGTCCCGATTGTAAGATTCTCTGCGGGACCCAGAAAGCCTCTCATGAAGTCCCCTCCCTGGTTCCACAATTCTGGTTCCCAGGCAGGTTTGCCAACCCCTTTGGTGGACACCAGCCAGCACACGTGGGCCTTTGAGCAAGGCTGCGGCTGTGTCAGATGGTGCCTCCAGTCTCGTTGAGGGTGGGGTGAGGCCTTGAGGGGCGTCCGTGTTGAGCTGGCCTGGTGGAGTGGGGGCACTGAAGAGGGGGCTACAGGAGAAGCAGAGCTGTGGAGGGGAAATAGCCCAGATTTAAACCTGTCCAGTTTGGAAGGTGACTTCCAGAGAGTCTAGTAGGCCCTTGGAATGTGGATTTGGAGCTCAGGAGGTGAGTCTGAGCTTGAAACCAGCACAGTGGCTACTGTTTGATGACTGGTACTGTCTCTTCAACAGCCTACCCCCGTTAAACCAAACTATGCTCTAAAATTCACCCTGGCTGGCCACACGAAAGCCGTGTCCTCTGTGAAATTCAGCCCGAACGGGGAGTGGCTGGCAAGTTCATGTACGTATCACCAGGGCCTCAGCTCTTGCCAGGGGCTGTCGGAGCTGCAACCAGAAGCCCGGGACAGCGGGAGGGCTTGCTTCCTAACGCTGCCGCTGGGGCATTGCAGCAAGCCATTTGCCCCTCGCCCTAACTGGGGTGCTTGGCTGCTCTGAAGTGATGGGCCTGGGGGAGAGGGGAAGGGCGCGGGCAGCAGGTGTCTGAGCACCGGCTGTTCCCTCTGCATGGAGCCTGTTCACGTGGGTTCCAGAGGGATTCACACTGTTCCCAGGGCACTTGTTGTGGGAAGCCCAGATTTTGTACTCAGGATGACTGAAGCACCCCATTTCCTTTGTCTTCCTTTCTTTCAGCTGCTGATAAACTCATTAAAATTTGGGGAGCGTATGACGGAAAATTTGAGAAAACCATATCTGGTCACAAGCTGGTAGGTGTGAGCCCTGCATGCTGAAGTTGGTGGGCCGCTGTAGCTCCACTGGTCCAGGGGGTGGGGCCCATCCCCAGGGTTCATCAGGTTAAGATCTAAGCTTCCCCCCAACCCGAGTTTTTTGAGTTGTTTGCCTCTTGTTTGTTTTTGTTTTTTTTAAAGATTTTATTTATTTATTTGAGAGAGAGAGAATGAGAGACAGAGAGCACGAGAAGGAAGAGGGCAGAAGCAGACCCCCTGCTGAGCAGGGAGCCTGATGCGGGACTCGATCCCGGGACTCCAGGATCATGACCTGAGCCAAAGGCAGTCGCTTAACCAACTGAGCCACCCAGGCGCCCCTTGCCTCTTGTTTTTTAAGCAAATACTTTTGACCTTCCCAGAAAAGTTTCATCGTGATTGCAAGAAAACACGCTTCTCCTTTGGGGACCGTGTAGTGTTCCGTCTGTGTGGTCGGGAGTAGCTAGAGGGTTTGGATAGTGCTTATTTATCTTTAGACGGATGTTCTGACCTTTGCTGGTTCACTGCATTTTGTCCCATCAAGGTGGTGACCCTGTGTTTTTGCTCCCCAGGGGATATCAGATGTGGCCTGGTCGTCAGATTCCAACCTCCTTGTTTCCGCCTCAGATGATAAAACCCTAAAGATCTGGGACGTGAGCTCGGTAAGCTGCTCCCCTCCCGGCAGAGCCCCTGTTCGTGGACAGGGGGCACGGTGTGGGAGTCCGAGGGCGGTCTGGGGACCAGCTGATCATGGGTGGCCCCGCTTGGTGGGAGATGTGCCATCGGGCCGCTGTGGGCTCGGTGTTGAAATAACCACTGGGGGGGCGCCTGGGTGGTTCAGTTGGTTAAGCGACTGCCTTCGGCTCGGGTCATGATCCTGGAGTCCCGGGATCGAGTCCCGCATCGGGCTCCCTGCTCAGCAGGGAGTCTGCTTCTCCCTCTGACCCTCCCCCCTCTCATGCTCTCTCTGTGTCATTCTCTTTCTCAAATAAATAAATAAAATCTTTAAAACAAAAACAAAAAAAAAGAAATAACCACTGGGAGTAACTTAGTCTGACAATACTTGGTTTTAGGGAAAGTGTCTGAAAACCCTGAAGGGGCACAGTAACTACGTCTTTTGCTGTAACTTCAACCCCCAGTCCAACCTCATCGTCTCGGGCTCTGTAAGTGTGATGCCCCCGGGTGTGGGGGGCGGTACTTTGTAGCCAGGGGCTTGGGAGTTGAGCCTTGAGTCTTCTCTGTCGTGCTGGGGGACGAGGGGCTGATGGTGGCACGTCTTGGGTTCCAGCGGACCGGTCATCTCCCCCTCTGTATGGAATGGCCTTAACCTCTTCTTTTGTTTCAGTTTGATGAAAGCGTGAGGATATGGGACGTGAAAACAGGGAAGTGTCTCAAGACTCTGCCTGCACACTCGGACCCGGTTTCAGCTGTAAGTCCCACCGAACCCTGGACACCGCGCAGCAGGACAGGGTGATGGCCAGGGAGGGGACACTGGGGACCCTGAGAACGGTCTCCCTGTCCTGGGCCCATGAAAGGACAGGCGGGCTAGGGTCCGGGTGTGGTGTCCCGAAACTGAATCCTGTGGGACAGGTAGGGCGGCCAGGCCTAGAAGAGGGCCATGCATTGGGAAGTGAGTTTGGAGTGGAGCTGGCTTTGATCTTGGGGTGGTGGTGGAGGAGGTCGAGATGACCTGGCCGAGGGCGAGAGCCAGTGGAGGGCGGAGCCCCACGAGTGTCCTGTGTGTGCTCCGCGTCTTGCCTGTGTGCACGCCAGCAGTGTGCAAGACGAGTGTGGGTGCTTGAAGTATCCATTGTATCACAAACCTCTCCACTTGAAAGTGGCCAGGAGATTCCTTTCTTTGTCAGCAGAGAGCCTGGGCTTGTTTCTTAGCCAAGTTTGCCTTTTTTTGGAAAGGGGAAGGGATCGTGTAAACAGTGTGCTTATTCTTACTGAGCAGATGGTCCTTTTCACTTTCTGAAATCGTGTAGGTGAGCGATTTGAAACATTTTCAGCCTTGGAAGGGCTTTTTTGCCCAGCCGAGACCACTTGCAGAGCCTGGATACGTAGAGGACACGTATCGCACGCTGGTTGCAGGGGCCCTTGCCGCCCACAGTCCTGGCCAGCGCCTGGGGCTCCGAGGAAGGCAGTGCGCTATGGACATGGGGCCCGGCCTGACCGGCGCTCTCCCCTCCGCTGTGGACTCCCAGTCCGAGGAGAGCACGGCAGCGAATGTGCGAAGGACCCGGGAAGCGAGCTGAAGGAAGGCGGGGAGTCGCAGGAGTGCGAGTTGGGGGGCGGGGGGACTTAGCCTGAGCAGCCGTAGGGTTTGTAAAGTTGCATTTCCCACTGAAGTGAAATGTACTCCTTTAAGAAAAGGCAAACAGAGGGAGCGAGGAGAGAGTCACACTCTCCTGAGTCCCCACCCTCCAGGCCCACTGCTAGTCCCTGCCTCCTCCTGAGGCCGTCTGGTTTTTTAAAAATCCGTGTCTTTCACCGGATGTTCTCTAAGTGGTGGGGGTGGAGCACAGCTGCCGTGCGGCCCCCTGGGAGGGGTTCTCGGGCATCTGTGGTGTCTGTGCCCAGACCCCGGGGGGTAGTGGGCACCCTGCGCCAGGCACCCCGGCGGGTGTTTGCTTGTAAGTCGCACCGCACGGCCAGGAGTGCAGTGGGCATCTTCGTTGGACAACTTACCCCGCGGCGTGCCGTTCCTGCGGGTGGACTTTTGGCGGTCACGGTCGTGTGAAGGAGGCACACTGAGCTTTCCAGCAGATGCGGCTGGCAGCTGGAAGCCTCCCGGCGGGTACTCCGCTGGCCCCCGTCCTCTCTCGCCCGGACTCCCTCCTGCATTAGCTTCCTCACCGGAAGGGCCCTCGCTGCAGCCGCTCGGCCTGTGGATTTTCCTTGTACTCACCCTGTTTCCTGCTTCGCTGCTTTTACGTGAGCTCACCTGTCTGCCAGGTGTGCCCCTCCCTGCCGCCGGAGGGAGGTCTCTGAGTGACTGTCATCTGAGTGCGGACTTGGCATTCCCCTTAGGGTCTGACTTGTTGCCTTTTTCGTGTCTTCGTAGTGCTTACGTTTAGACTGTGGGGACGTGTAGGGCGGCCTTGTTGCCTTTCGCACCTGACCGTTGGTGGGATGGAAAAGCCAAGCTGTGTTTGCCAGTGGGGAGGTCCCGATGTGGTTGGGAACAAGGCAAAGTATGAGGTTGGCATGGCAGCTTCCGGGGACCCATGCCAACTCGTTAGTGTCTGGTACAATGGACCGTGACAGAGTATTTTGCAAACCCAGAGAAAGGGAGAACGTGGTTGGACAGGTGGCAGCGAGTTAGAAAGACCGTTACCTTGAGGGGCTGACGAGCGGGTGGTCTTGGTTAGATAGCTGGCCTGCGAGCCTGTAGGGATGGAAGGACAACAGAAAAGCCTCTCGAGTGTCTCCTGGAGAGCATGCGGGGCCCAGCGGTCCAGCACAGAGGCCGCCAGCCGCGCGCCGTGGTGCAGCCCGTGAAGTGCTGGGAGCCCCGATCGAGACCCGCCGTGAGCATCAGGTGTGCTGTGCGTGCTCAGCCTTCGACGGTTCCGTGGGACCAGAGGGAGCCAGAAGTGTCTCGTGGGTGACTTCGACACCGGTCACGTGTTGGGGTGGGACCGTAGAGACTTTGGGTTAAATAAAGCCAAGTTCATCCCACCTGTTAACCTTCCTGCTGCAGCTACTAGAGCATTGTCCTCGTGGCGGGCGGGGCCCGAGAGTCTAGACCCCAGCTTCTCCGGGTCTCCTGGCCCCGCGTCACCCGCGTCCACCGAGGGTGTGTCAGCGGCGTGCTCTGGGGCCTGCTGCTCAGTGGAACGAGCTCTCAGGTGCTCCTGGGCGCGTGGCTTGGCCCCTGGGGACGTCCAGCAGTGTCTGGAGGCAGCCTGGCCCTTGTGAGTCGGGCGGATGCAGCCACATGGGCAGCCCCGCGGCCGGAGAGACTGGGCTGGTGGGGTGGTGGCGCCAGGGTGGAGGCCAATTGACCCAGCAGGCGGCCACGGGCCCACCCCCAGCCCCTGTGTCGCGCAGTCTCACGTGGAAAACGTGGCACGAAGCAGGGAGCGAGCTGGTTTCAGCAAGGTGCTAGTTGTTATAAAAAGGCTTATCCTGGATAAACTCTGCCCAGGACTCAAAAAAGGTAGAAGTTGGCGATAGTCTCATCTGACATCGTGGTTCCTTTACTTCCGCTGGGATTCCACCGGGAAAGCAGGAAAAAAACTCGAAGATGGTTTAGTTGTGAGACTGGGGCTTGTCGGCTGCCGGAGGTGTGTGTGGCCACGGGGGTGGAGGGCGCTGGGCCCCCGGGTGACAGAGGTGTGGGGAGCGGAGGCCGGTCGTGCCCGGGGGACCAGCCCACGGGGGAGTCACCCCCGCTCTGAGGTGTGGGGCTCAGAGCGGCCTGGATGTCGGGCGCCTGGGTGCCTGAGGTTCCCGGTCCTCGTGGCAGGCAGGGGGACGCGCCTGCGTGCATTCTTCTGGTGGTTACCCAACAGGTGGGTTTTTCTTGGTTTAATGTGAGGTCGGGGAGGTGGGTTTCGGCCAGGTTGCCCTGGTCAGGCCGCCTCCATGGCAGCAGCAGATGCACGCAGGCCCAGCCTCTTCTCCCTTGGGCTTGGTCACTTGGTCCCCTCTGTTTCTTTTCAAGGATACATTTTGTAGTAAGCGATTTAGTTGCTGAAGATGTGTTCGGGGTTGGTTTTCCTTCTAAGTTTAGTTATCCATCGTGAAACAAAGGGCCTGTTGCTTGAGACACCTGGCAAGAATCACTTTATCCGTGTCACTCGAGTATCTGTCAGTGTCGGCAGGAAATCCGTAGAGCTCGAAGTGCGTGGCGGCTCTGTTTCTTCGTCAGTGTTAGCAAGACGGCATGTGTTTGTCAAGGGTACTTGTGAGTAGGGGGCCACTCAGGTGGGCAGGGCCACGTAGTCTGTGTGGACCACTTGGAAGTAAGTCTCTTTTTTCCTCCACTCTGCTCTCAGGTTCATTTTAATCGGGATGGATCCTTGATAGTGTCAAGTAGCTACGATGGTCTCTGGTAAGTGAAGACATTTACTTCATTTACTCAGCGCCTGTTTGTGCAAAGGCCGTGTTCTGGCCTCCGGGGGACAGCAGTGAAAACGGGGCAGGAGGAAGCCTGTCCCCGCGAGGGGCTTCTGCTGTCGTGGGCTGCGGCAGACGGACAGACGCACAGCCGGAGGGGCTGCTGCTGGTGCAGGGAGGCTGGGGAGGCGTTCCTGCTCCAGACTCCGCTCCTTGTGGGCATGGGGGGCATGCGGGCCCAGGACCAGCCTCACGTCCCGTGGAGGATGCGGCGTGGAAATCCCGCCACAGAGGAGGTGAGGATGAAGGGGGGACGTGGTTTCATGTGGAATGTGCAGTGTAGCCTGGACTGAGTAATGCTCGGACAGCTCGGAGTTTGTAACCTAAGTGTTGAGGACTCTGTCGGAGGCATGAGAGAGGGTGTAGAAGGAAATATCCGTTTAAATCGGCAGACGCCGTGACGGAGGCACGCGGGCAGGGACAGCGTCCCGCCCGTCCAGCGTGCTCGCTGCTCACTGCGGGGAGGCCGGTGGGAGGCCGGTGGGCAGCGGCCCCCAGCTGCATGATGACCCGAGAGGAGCTTCTCAATTACGAGGGAGAACGAAAGCAAGGCTAGGAATCAGTCTATATTTAGCAAAAAGGAAACAAGAGGAAGGGGGGTGACATAAATCATCTAATGAAAACGCCACGGAAGGAGGGAAACGCGCTGCGCCGGGTTCACGGCAGCTGGACCCCTCGCTGCAGGCTGTCAGGTTGCGTGGGAAACCAAAGGGTGGGCGAACGGCGGCGGCGGGCGCAGAGCACAGAGCAGCGTCCGAGTCAGCGGGACTTACACACTGAGCGTGTGTCGTCACCCCCCCCCGCCCCCGAGGAGACGCAGACAGCCGCCCCGAGCGCACGCGGGGCCTGGGGCCGCGAGGACGGTGAGGCAGGACGCGTCGCGTCTAGACGTCGACAGGAGAGCGTCCGGACCCGAGCGACGCCGTGGCTGTGTATTTGCTGCGTATGCAGCACAGCATATGTTGTGTCCCGCGAGCCTGGAACGATCTCGGGGTTGTCCATGGACAGGCTCTGAAAGCTTTCTACAGAAGAGGGAGAAGGAAGAGAAAATTTAAAAAGCTGTGTACTTACTGAGGCCCGCCCAGTAGTTAACCCTTCGAAGCTCCAGTAAGGAAGCAGGGAAGATGAGCAGGATGGAGGCAGCGGGTGCAGACGTAGCAGGCTCTGGGGAGGGAAGGGGACAAGGGCACGTTCGGGGAGCTCCTGTTTGCTGCGTTGGCTGAGGAAGGTTTGCTCATGGTCAGTGGAGCTGAGCTGGATCCTGGGCTTCCAAGGCTGGGAAGCTGATCCGACCACAGAACGAGGTGGGGGCCCCTGATCTGATGCCCCTGATGGAGCTAGTGTGACCCTCCTCCCCAAGCTCCGCAGTGAGTCTGTAAAGAAATCCACGGAGGACGCTTCGCTCAGGAATGTCCATGTCAGAATTCCAAAGGAACCGTTTGCAAGCTGATTCCAGCAGTGCCTCAGAAAACAGTAGTCCACGACCACGTGGGTTTCTCGAACTGTGAGAGGGCTGTGATAGCGTGATTGACATCAGGAAGTCTGTAATCTGATGAATTGTGTCAACAAAGGCGAACCTCCATGACGTGTCACCAGCAGAGGCCGGGCAGGCACCCCCAGTGGAGACTAACGGTGTCGCTAACCGTTCGCCAGAAGCTTTGTAACGTTTACAACATGCAGTAATGTGCTAAAAACGTTTCTAGTTAAATCAGGAGCAAACCAGGCCCATCTGCCCCTTATTCAGGGTGTTTGGAGCTCCTGGTTAACGGGATAGAGCTTTCTCTCTTTGTAGAGGGTCTGTTTTTCAAGAGTTAGGAGTCACGGACACAGCACTTGATCAGCACCGACCCCAGCCTAGCCATCCCCACTCGGCAGGAGGGGAGCCGAGGCAGGCTGAAGTCTCGCTGGTTGTCCCCAGCAGTGTGGGTGGGTGGCAGCCAGAATCTGTGCCACACGGCGGGCTCCGGCGCCCCGGCTCTGAACCGCCAGGCCCTGCTGCTTACAAACCATGACTGAGTGTTTGGGGAGGTGAAGGTTTGGAAACGGACAGCCTTCCCCGGTACTGGACGTCCGCGGTGAGCAGACGCGCAGGAACAGGGGCAGAGACATGAGGGAACCTAGGATACGTCTAACAGGGAAGAGGAGGACCACGTGGGGAAAATGACAAGGTGCAACTAAAGGGTCAGGAAGCAGCGAGCTGGGGGATGAGGACGGGGTGTGTGCACGTCCCCTAGTGGGGACCCTGGCCTGGGAGACTGGGCAGTTCCACGGAGGGCCCCCCCTCGGCCTTTCTGCAGCGAGAGGAAGCGGACTTAGGACCTGGAGGGAATGTAGTCGAGCTGCTGCTGGGAGGGCGAGGAGAACCGGCGGCCGGGGGCCTGCTGTTGCCTGGACAGCAAACCTGAGGCCCGGTCACTGTAGCACCCAGCCCCAATGGGTGCCTGCTGCGGGATGCGACACAGCGCCTGGTGCCGGGGTGGGGGGGGGGGTCCCCTCCCAGAAGAAGGGCCTGGTGGGGCAGGCAGAGCGGAGCCGGTCCTAGGAGCAGGTCGCCGCCCCGCGCCCACTCCCAGCAGTCAGGGAGTTAGAGAGCAGCTCGAAAGTGTGCCCCACGGCCAGTGATGCGGGATATCACCCCGGGCCAGGGCGTCCCCCGGTGGGGGTGGGAAGCTGGGAGAGGACGTTAGGAAGGTCAAGTGGCACCCTGTGAACCAGTGTCCTCGCTGCTGGGTGTCTGTGCCGTGGAGGGGCAGGCGACGCGCGTTTGCTGCTGAAGACGTTTGCGTGGACGAAAGTCACAGACACGCTCGAACTGGCACGTCCGTTCTGGGGCAGCAGCTCCTCGAGTACGTTCTCTTGCTCCTGAACTAGAGGAACATCCAGAAGATGCCATACGATGCTCTAGTTCTGCGGAAACTCCCGAGCAACCAACCGCATGCTTGGATTGCTCGTGCCGGAGAGCAGGCTGGGCTCCTGGCGCCCTCCGCCGTGGTCTCTGTTGTCCCCATCGTGGTGACCACGCCTCCTGTGGCTGAGCACATGAGAACACGCGGGGCTCTGTGAGCGTGGTGTGCGCGGGGCCCTGTGAGCGCGGCGGGAGCGCGGTGTGCGCGGCACCCGTTCTGGCCCCGGAGGGCGGGGGGACCTCGTTGCCGCAGGAGTGATGGAGCGGAACAGTAAAGAAAACTGAAATATGGCTCACTGTGTGTTAGTCTCAAAATCAGGATTTGCTTAGGAACCGGAACGCCTCGAGCTGTTCGTCCTGACTTGCTTTGTAAAAATTTGCTATTTTTGCGTTGCAGTCGGATCTGGGACACCGCCTCTGGCCAGTGCTTGAAGACACTGATCGGTGAGTGCCGCCGGCGCGGGCTTTCCGGCAGGCTGTCCCTCCCAGCGGCGGTCGCTGTTCCCTGCCCTCCGTTATGTGTGCTTTCTGGGAAGGCCCCCTGTCCTCCATCCTGGATCTGCTTCCTGGGGGAGGGCTCCTCCCTCACGGACCAGGTCCAGCTCCTGGCAGCTCCTTCCTGCTGACCTCCGGCACCGTGACGTCCCCTCTCCAGGCGGGGCCCTGTGCTGTCTTCCATCAGCCCTTGCTTGGGACTGCCTGGCCGTGTCCTCCGAAAGCCCCGTGAGCCCCTGAGACCCTTGGTGGGGACTCTCCTTGGATCATTCCTTGAGCAGACGTGATTGAGCCCCAGCCCTGAAATGCACCCCATCTGCCGGGGGTGTCACGGGCGAGCCCGGGGGACAGGCACTGGGGTCTCTGCAGACGGGTAGGGGTCAGTTGTGCAAAGAGAGGCAGGTGTGTATGTGGCCAGAGGGTGGGTGCTGGGCCCCTGTAGGGCCTGAGCCCCTGAAGGCGTTGGGGAGGCAGCCCTGGGAGGATTTTGAGAAGGTGGATCACCTTGGGTCAGCCTGGAAGGTCCCTGCAGTTTCAGGTTTACGTGTGAAATAGGGCAGTGGTGGAGTTCTACGCTGCGGGCCGGCGAGAACTGGGTTGTGGGCTGGGGGAGAGGCCTACGACCTGCCGGGAGGTGCCGCCTCCGAAGCTCCGCATCCTTCCCCGGGCAATCGGGAACGCATGTGGCTTTATGCGTCAGCTGGGGTCACCGGGGGCCGCCATAGCAAAGCACCCCAGCTCAGGCGACTTACCAGAGATTTATCCCTGCATCCTCGGCACTGCGATCTGAGATGCAGGCGTGGGCGGGCCTGGTTTCTCCTGCAGTCTCTCGTCGGCCTTCCTGCTGTGTCTTCCCATGGTTGTCCCATGTGTGTGCACCTCTGGCGTCCAGTTCTTCTCTTGTACAGACGCTGGTCAGATTGGAGTAAGGTCCTCTGTACTAGCCGCATTTTAACCGAGGCACCCCTTGCAAGGCTGCGTCCCCACACAGAGCTGAGATACCGGGGTTAGGGTTTCGATGTGGAGGTTTGAGAGGGATGCGGTTCAGCGTATGATGGTGGCCTTTGTACGGTTTTTGCTTTTTGAGTTTACCCTTCTGATGACGTGACCTCACGCCGTGTCCCCAGAGGCCTGGCACAGCCCCCTCCACCGGGTGGAAAGTGCCATCGTTCGCGCGCGGGAGCTGTCTGGCGCTTGCTGTGTGTTAAGCGTCGACGTTAACCCACGTAATCCTCACGGCCAGCCCGCCCCACAGCCGGGCGGGAAGCGGAGGCTCGGAGAGGCTCGTTGACTAACCCAAGGCTGGGAGCAGGCAGGTACCAGCGCCAGGCCTTGAGCCCCACGGCGTCTGCGGGAGGAAGGGGCGGTGCGTAACCCTGTCCCCAGCCTGTTTCTAAAGGCAGGTCCACAGGATTAGAACTTTTCAGACCCAGCGACGCTTTGGTCCTGGAGCTTGGGTCAGAAACACCGGCACTACTTCGCCTTGTCTGAGTTGGGGGCCTGCCTTCCTGGTGTGGCCCCTGTGCCCTGAGGAGGGCCGTCTGGCCTCACGCCTTTTCATGTGCCTTTGCAGCGTCTGGGACGTGTCGGAGGGAGCAGCGGCCCCCGGCGTGCGGTGGCCAGGGCCCTCGAGGTGGTAATGCGGCCCGCCGCTCTCCCCTGCTCGGCACCAGGGTGCACGGCCCCGGTTCTGTCCTTCTCACCTGGGGGGAAGCGCGCTCCTCCCGATGTGAGGGTCACAGGCTGTCATGCAGCAGCAAATGCCGGCCTTGGCCTGGGCGGCCCGGACGGTGGCTCTTACCAGCATTCCCGGGCCGCCCGGGGTGAGCTTTCACACCCGAGTATAGAAGCAAGGATGCAGGTATTATGCCAGCAGCGTTGTTTTTAGAGGGGGTTTACAGACCTTTTGCTCTAATTAGGCGGCAGAAAACATCTGAGATGATTCACCCGGGTCGTTTTTCCCTCAATGGCAATACTTCTTCAGTCCAGCGGGGCGTTGGCAAACTGTTGCACGTGAAGAAGTTGACCCTGGGTCCTCCTACAAACCCCATGTTGGCAGAAGGCCAGGCACCCTGAGTTTGATTGGCCATAGGCCCCTTGTTCTAAAGCCGTCGTGGCAGAGGGGGTGGTCAGGCCCCCACCAGGGACCCGAGAAACATCGAGGAGAACCGGCCGTTGTGACCGGTGCCAGGCACGGGCGAAGGGGGGTGTGCTGGGCTCCTCGGGGACCCATCCTAGGTGGTGGTGTGGGCACCTGTGGCAGCGTCCCCGCTCGGATGGCCCCGTGTGGTGATGGGGGGCTGTCCTCCTTTCCTCCCCGGGCCTAGGCCCGGCGCTCCTCCCATCAGCCTGTCTCTGCGTTTCCCATGCAGATGACGACAATCCTCCTGTGTCGTTTGTGAAGTTCTCTCCAAATGGCAAGTACATCCTGGCCGCGACCTTGGACAAGTAAGTGCCACCGCTTCCCGCGGGGCGGGCCAGGGATACCTGTCTCCTAGCAGTGTTGCACTCATAGAGATGAGATGTCTAAGCCCGGTACGTGGTCCATGCTTCTGGAAGGTGTAGGCTTCCGGAATGCATATGCTGTGCTGGGGGCCGGGTCTCCGGGCTGAAGAAGGATTGGGGGTCCAGGTTTCTTTGCGGCTTCTGTCGGGGCACGGGCAGCCTCTGAGCGCCTGTGTTTCACCCCAGCAGACTCGGGGCTGGTTTTGCCCCCTCTCGGCGGGCCTTCAACCCCTGGCTGCCGTGTGTGCACTTCGGGCAGCTCTCTGGGGCCCCGAGCCCGGCCCCCAAGCTTGCCAGAGGGCCATGTGGTTGGCGCTTCTCCTCAACACCCTTGGGAAGAGCGAATTCCTGCCCAGGGAAGAGGGGGGATTGTTGCACTGAACTCTGTTCTGGACATTTCTGGAACCTCCCCACCTCCCTCCTGTAGCGGGAACGAGCCGCTGACTGATTCCGGGGGCACCCGGTAGGCTCTGGTTAGTGGCAGAAACGTGCAGGGTTCTCACACTGCTCTCGGATGCCGACAAACAGCGGGCCCTGCGCCCGCACTTGCAGAGGGTGAGGGGCCCGGCCCCTGGCTTTGCTCCGCATGTGAGCACATGGTGGGGGTGGGGCACACAGTGACTGCAGGGACTCCCGGGAATGCAGGTGACTCACTGCCCCCCTCTGCCTTCCAGCACGCTGAAACTCTGGGACTACAGCAAAGGGAAGGTGAGTGCTGGGGGCAGGCTTGCTGGGACTGGTTGTGCCGAGGGCCTGGGCTGTGGCTTTCGCTGGTGGCGGAGCTGAGCCAGGGTCTGAAGCAAGAGGGGCTAACGGAAGCCACCTTCATTGGGTTGGCGTGGTGCGTGTTTGTCAGACTCAGGATTTTGCAGCTCGCTAGGCGGCAGGTGAAGGCTTCAACCGCGTGGCTTTGCGCCCTAGGTGTTTAGATTGCTCTCAGAGCTAAGGATAGTTGTCTGTGAAGTGCCCGCATTCCAGACGCCGGGAATTGTCCACAGTGCAGGGAGATCGTGACTCAGTAGACGTACTGACATTCCTGTCTTTGCAGTGCCTGAAGACATACACCGGCCACAAGAATGAGAAATACTGCATTTTTGCCAATTTCTCAGTCACTGGCGGGAAGGTAAGTTTTCTCCCAGCTCAGGAGCTTCTCGGCCTCCTAGCTGTCCCTCCCGAGAGGTGACCCTCTCATAGGTTGGCTTGTCTGCCTTTGGGCGTTCCTCTGTGCCCGCAGAACGAAGTACTGGTGCCTGGGACGGTCAGCTTCTCCCTCATGGAGGCGGAGGGTTCGGGGTGTGGGGCGCAGTGTCGTCTCTGTGAGGGTTCTGCTGCCCAGGCGGGGCCCCACTCCTGTGCTCGCCCAGGCGGGACGTGACTCGAGTGGGTGGTGGCGTTCGGCAGACCCGGACGTGACCCTGAGAGAGTGGTGATTCGAGGAAATGATGCAGGTCCCAGAGGGCTCCCGACGGCCGAGCGCGGCCTCGCGTTTCTCTCTGGGCGGTGCTGGGAGGGAGAGAGCCGCCCTGGGGCGGGCATGGACATGTGGGGACAGGGACTCTCGCCCAGGAGCCAGCTCCGACCTGGGTGTTTCTTGCCCGTCTTCCCGTTCCTAGTGGATCGTGTCTGGTTCCGAGGACAACCTGGTGTACATCTGGAACCTGCAGACCAAGGAGATCGTACAGAAATTACAGGGCCACACAGGTGAGCGCGGGGATCTGTGCCGGCTGCACACCCACGTTACACAGTGACGGTGTGCGCGTGTGCATTGTCCTGCCGCCTGCTTCTTGTGTTCTTCCTCGGCCTTCTGGTGGCCTGGGGATGCCCCGTTTTGGAGCGGTTGGCAGGTGGCTTTGCCCGAGCTCCCGTCTGGCCAAGGCCGGGTCCGGCTTTAACTTCTCTCCATGGCCATCTTTCTGGCTGCCTGGCCTCACAGTCCATGTAGGCTCCGTGTGCGGACATTGCTCGTGTGTGTGTGTCCTGCGTCGAGACAAGCGTGGGGCAGGGGACATCCACTCTGGGCTAGAGGCTCTGGTTGCTCTCTGACCCACCTTCTCCCTGGGGGCCTTGCGCTCTGCACTCTGAGCGGCCGCCCATGCTGGGCCCTCTGCCCCCAGAGGCCGCCCCTCTCCCCGCCTGCACTTGGGGGAGAGTGTCCGATCCTTTGAGTGCTCTACTGTCATCCCTTAAAGCCACCTCTACCCGCTGGGGACACGGCCTAGACCTGCAGGTCAGCTGCCACTTTGTGTGGTCTCCCCACGTGGCTTAGCTCCTCGGGAGCAGCCCCGTGCCTCGGTTGCTTCTGGCCCACCCACTGCTGCGTGGGCAGGACACTCAGCCCCTTTGCAGCCGCTCGGGATGCAGCCGTTCGGGAAGCGGGAAAGTTCTGGGGTGTAGCCCCAGGTGTCAGCTCATGGACTCTCACATCCCTGGCGGAGGTGGGGAGCTTCCTGGCGGAGGCGAAGCATGCCCTGTGGAGTGTGCCTGGGCCCAGCAGCAGTGGGGGGCGGCCGGAGCGTGGGCTCTGGTCCTGGTGAGCGCGGGCACGTTGTCCACGCGGCGAGACAGGCTTGTCTGTACCTGCCGGGACCCAGTGCGCTGGGTGCTGGGCCAGGCTCCACGAGCCCGCGCTGCTGCCGCGGGCCGACACTGGTGTTCTCGGAGGCCGCTGCGTCATGCCGCCTGCCACCTTCCCACCGGGGTGGGTGGCACAGCTCAGGGCTGTGAGCGCTGGGGGCCAGTGGCGGGGGGCGTTGGGGGCGCGACCCTGGGGCGGCAGAGCAGGTCTCTGCACCAGGGGGCAGACGTCGGCTCCGGTCTCTGTTTCAGACGTTGTGATCTCAACAGCCTGCCACCCGACAGAGAACATCATCGCCTCGGCCGCGCTGGAGAACGACAAGACCATCAAGCTCTGGAAGAGTGACTGTTAGGCGCTGTGGGCGCCGCGGGGGGGACGGTCAGGAAGGTGCCCCGGCGGCAGGAGCGCGGTGTCTGGAAGGGCGCCCCTCGGTCTGGGCCTGGGGGTCGGGACGGGCCTGGATTAAGCCGCCTCTGAGGACGATGTGGTGGAGGGGGTGTCTACCACCGGAAAGTTCTAGAAGTTGCTGGTGACATTTCTTGCTGATCCCTCTCACACTGTCTGGGGAAGTTTGTAGTCTGTATTGTGTTCAGAGTCAACAAAAATTTTTAATTTTTTATTACAGAAGGGTGAAGTTCAATTTATCATGAGTTGTGTTTTTTTCCAGTAAATGTTCTGTCCCTTCTTCGGTATGTAAGCACCCAATGCAAGCGCTGTGAGCCCCCGCGGCCAGCCCCCCGTCTGTTCAGTAGATGCTCTAGCGACCCGGCCCGCGGTCACCGGTTCCTGCTGGAGCGCCGAGTGTTGTTTCAAAGTCTTTCTGGAAAACGCAGAACACTGTAAGGTTAATCCCGTGTAAAAACCCTTTGTGTGGGAGTTCGTGGTCCCTGTGCCGACAGTGTGGTGTCGTGCCGTAGCTCCCCGCGTCCCCCCCGCGTCCGCGACGCGCACGGCCACCAGCTGTGGTACGAGGTGGGAGTCTCGCCGCCGCGCTGGGCTTCTCCCGCCAGGCCCGCGTGTGCTCGGCCCCTTCCTGAGAAGTCCTTGGTGGCAGGAGGTTGAGGATGGCCGCGGGAAGGACTCGGCTCTCCTGTAGGTCGGGAGTGCGTCACGGGGGCCGGGGACAACCCGGGGCAGTGTGGCTGGAGAGGAGCCGGCCTGGGCTGCGGGAGGCCCCGGTTCCGAGGCCTGGGCTCAGGCTGGGCTTCGGAACCCGCAGGCTTGCTGGGGGCCTTGGGGCCGGCACTGGGAGCCGCCCGCTCCAGCGGGCCTCTCGGTGGTGGTTGGAACCTCCAGCAGCGCGGTTGCCAACGGTGGGGGGGAGCGGGGGTGGTGCTGTGCTGATCCCAGGCGCGGGACCCCTGTCCACACCCCCGTCCTCCGCCAGCAGCAGGTGGCTGAAGCGTGGGCCCTGCCTGTGCTGGGTCTGTGGATGGAGCCGCGCCCACCCTGCCTTTCCTAAGGCCCTGAGTCCTGGGAGGGGGAATAGGGGGCTGCCCTCGACGGGCTTCCGGGGCCCCCTCCAGTGGCCACTGTCACTTGGACAGCGCTGACCATTCTGGTAGAAGGCATGTGGAAACCGGCTTCCTTCTGTTTCCCCGGCCTCTCCCCGGGAGGTGGACAGCAGGTGGGCTGTCCCGCTGGAGTGACATGTGGTCAGCGCTCGAGGGGCTGTGGGGGGGGCCTGGTTTGCCACATATTTTGGTAGGAAGCGCGAAGGTATTGCTGCCCGCCCCTGGGAGCAGGGGGGTGTGGACACGGAGCTCTGTGCCCTTGGATATAGTTTATTTTTTCTACGTTTGAATTCTCTGTTGTAGATTTGTGTAAAAATACATTCTCTCTTTTAAAAATAAAAATTTTCATGTCTTGTAATTTTGTCCCATAAGACTTTTTCACTTTTCTTAATGTGCAGCTCTTTTCGGGGTGGGGGCTGGAAGCTCACCGGCCCTTCTGCTGCTTGGGTGGCCCACTCTGGCAGAAAGCTCATAGTTACTAAAAACTACTTTTTCTTACTATGAAAGTTACTATTTGTGTTAATTATTGACAACGTAAAGCAAATAGGCAAGGATCATAAACCACCTGGGTTCGTGCTACCACTGACATTTTGGGGATTATCTTCTAGTATATTCATTAAAAATAAACTCCATTTTGGACCACTTCAAGCATATATGAACATAGAATCTTGCTGGCTTTATCAGTCAACTTTAAAAAAATAATTTTTTAAAATTGTTTTTAAAGATTTTATTTATTTGACAGAGAGAGAGAGAGAGAGAGAGAGGGAACACAAGCAGGGGGAGTGGGAGAGGGAGAAGCAGGCTTCCCGC